TTCATAGAGAGAGACAAGAACTTTTTCAGCCAGTCACCGTGCCTCTCACTAAAACACGAGATTTGGAGAGTGCTGGCAGGTACAGTTTTGTTGAAACAGCGTAGGTCTGGAGGCCTCCGCCTGCCCAGCTGAGTGACCGGATGCCTCGGGAGTGCTAGTTCAGCCGGTGGGCTGGGGCCCCAGTTTGCAGGCACCTTAATGGTCATTTGGGGGCTTAATATAGTGCCTTGTGCTGTGACCTGAACAGCGTCCTGACTAGTGTCTCCATGATTATTCCATTATTCCAGCAAAATGCAGAAAACGCTTGACTTGTTGAACAAATATTTTGCTGTAAAAATCCTTATTGCATTGAGTCGAACTAGTATTTCAGTGTTGGGCATTGTAATGAAAGTGAAATATTTAAATTCATTTAACCTAGTCACACTGTTTTCAGCTCCTATGGTCATTGTTTCCATGGTAACTGTTTTCTTTCAGGTTTTTTCCCTTCAGACCAATATCATTTTGTGTGTGTATATAAAGTATATTTTAAAAAAAATGTTAAGCGAGCTTTGCTTTATAGTATTTCATATGTTTCAGTAGTGAATTTTTGGCTTTTAAGTTAGAAGGCAAGAGAGAAATGGTAATTTCCTACTATTTCTGGCTAAAATATTCCATATTCCCATCAAAGAAGGGTTAGTGAGCTTGATATTTTGTTGAAGCCAATGTACTAAATAGGAAAGGTGTTGTCTTTAAGACAGTTCATGTACAATACAGAGCTGAGTAATGTCGAGTTTAAAGCAAGAATAATACCAAATGCTAATGAGTCTGTCTTTGCTGTATATATTCTTGGAAAGGGGGCTGGGAAGAAAAATAGAAGGGTGTGTAAATTATGTCTTGCTACACATAAAACCTGTGTAGCATGAACATGTCAGTTGACTAAGCCAAACAAGCATCTTTCTGTTTTCAGGGTGGGGCATGAAACTTTTTAACATGTTTTGAGATATTCAGATATTATTCAGAGTATTCAGATATTATACATGGTATTCAGGTTATTTTGTTGTTATTGTCTTACCATGTAGCAATCGAATTCTTGAATTTTTGAAGAATGAGAATAGAAACTATTACTGCAAGGGAAGCCTTGTTTCGGATGGTACAAAATACTGAAGTGTTAGAGGATACATAATTTGAAAAAGTCTGTGTAGGTATAAAGGTGGTACATACTAGTTGCAGATCAACATGTAGCTTGAGTCCCTTGGTCTCAGAGCCAGGATTGGATACATTGAGTATTCATACATGGAGGGAGCTTTTAATGTGTACTTAGGTCTGCAGATGCTCAACAATTCTTTCTGCCCTTTATACTCTGCTGGAAGATGAGATTTTTGGGAATGAAAACCTTGGGAAATGTAGAAGGCTACATTGATTGCTCAGTCACAGCTTGGATCGTTCTTGAGAGCCAAGGTAAACATGATGCTAATCTGGCAGGCAGGTCTAATTGCTATACCAGGGCATTACAGAGGGCAGTGGGAGTTCTGCACTGGAGCTGGGGTGTGAAAAGCTTTTTCTAAGGAATAGTGACTGTATAAATAATGCTGCAAAAGGGCAGTATGAAAATTAAGAAGAAGGAGGAATGCTGTTACAACACTTATGATTAGAAAAAGACTTTTTTCCTTGTTTGCCTTCTGTTTCTTATTATGCTGTCAAACTACAGTTTTAATTTCCAAATGTGAGCTGGAAAGACAAGGAAATGCAGAACAGGACTGTGTTATAGTGTATTTCCCTTACATGAGGGAGCTGGGATAGGGAGGCAGACCTGGGGAAGAAGAGCATGCTGCCCTGGCCTCTGTCTTGCGGAGCTGCTTGCGCCTCTTCTGAGCAATATGTCAACTAATATGTAATACTTCCTAAAAGTTCTGCTATAGTCTTCGAATTGTGTCAGTATGACATTGACGTTGCCTCAGCAGTCAAGAAGGCTTGCGGATCTGCTCTGGATGTCTTCTGTTTTCCTCTGTGCTGAAGGTAATTCTCTTGAGTCTTGAGGTTCACCAGCTCTTCACCATGAAGAGCATACCTTTCAAATGGTATGTGAGAAGATCTAAACAGCTTGGTCTTCACTGCAGGCCTTGTCAATTACAAGTCAGAGTTGACTAATCAGTCTTTCTTTTAAAATCTGGTCTTTTTAGGCTTCTTTTTTAGGGAGCCACATGCAGTATTTCCTCTAACTTGTTCTTAGTATATAGGCACGAAGTGCTAGGAACTACAGTAAGTAAATCAAACAGCAGTTCTTAAACTGGCAGTACTCTGGCATGGTGGAACAAAAGAAAAAATAAATGTAAGACGCCTCATTACAAAAACAGCCCTTCCTGTCTCCAAACAGAAACCTCAGACTTGCTCAGTATAGTTTTGAATATAAAAATTAAATGCTTAACTTTTTGTTATGGTGTTTACCTGTCACAAGATATAATACTGCCCATTATGTGGGGGAGGGGGGGGGGGGATAAATCTCCTGACTTTGTGTTGTGAGGTAGCTGAGATGTTTTAGAACCAGCTGTTCTTCTACAAACATGCAAACTGTTAAATTAGATTTTAATTTAATTATTCTCATCACACCAATAACAACAGCTATGTTGTCTGGCAGAGTAAGCCTGTGTGTACTTATTTTATTTGGAATAGTTCAACCTGAAAATAAACTCTTAAGAGTTAAAACTCTTAAATTCTGTTCTGTATTTTAAAGCCTAAAGAAAGCACCAGGAGTTTAACACCAACCTAGGAAAGTAGGCCTTTAGAAAAGGCAAACAACTGGGAATGCAGTCAGCTTAGCAGAAAGACCTCGTATCTGGGTCTTTGTTCAGTGCCTTAATAGTACCTCCCCTGGATTTTGTGGGAAGTATCTGTCTGTACTGACATCAGGACTAATGATAGTTTCAAAGCTGTGCTTTATCAGTGTATCTCATCTCACCAGTTCCTTTAGAGCCTGGTCTTTTGTGTCTTGGTCTGTCTGATTGTCTCCAGCTTTGCAGCTGGTTTCTCTAGCCTGTTTCACGCATTGTACTTGGCATACTTATTTTGCTGCCTTGCAAGGGGACTTACCTCTCTTAAGTTAGGGGGGAAGGTGCTTGAGCCTTCCCAAATTTCACTTATTAAGATCAAGTCTGTTCTGACTTTACAGGATTCAGCAAACTACAGAGGTCAGGTATATAGAAATACTACATTTAGTCAGCAGAGGGAGAAATCTTGCCTTGAGGAGGACTGCAATGATGGGGATTTGAGGGGAACATTTAGTTTAAAAAAAAAAAAAAAAAATGCCACTTGAGTTGGCCAATTCTGTATCAGCCTGTTCGCAGTTGGGAACTTAGTGTCTTTGTGGAATTTCTTATATACAATATTTATAAATATATGTATGTAGAGTATAGGAATACATGTAAAAATAGGCAAGACTGCATAACATGCGTTAAGAACACTTTTTCATAATCTGTCATGTCAGTGCAATAGCACAAGGCATTAAACTATCGAACATGAGTGGATCCTTACCCTTTTCTGAGTAACACTACATGTGCAAAGATCAAGTCCATCAAGAGAGGAGGCAGCCAAACAGAGGAGTTTCTGTATCAGGACAGCTGTCTGCTCAAATGTTTTAATTTTGACCGAAATTTAAGAATCGGTTTCTCAATGTGGAAGAACAACATAGACCAGCTAATTCACAAAACTGTATCAGTTACTGAGTACTGAAACTGCTCTATAAAGTTTGCTTAAAGTGCTAAATTTGTCAAAGGCTTATTGAAATGTCTGATTCAAACAATTGTAATGAAATATAGGTCCATGGTGGTTTTTTCCATTTGATTAATTAAAACCTTGTGTACAGGCAGTTTGAAGAAAATGAATTTTGATTAAGCCAAGTCTATTTAATTGTAACACTGACAGTATGTCAGCATCCTATGTTCACATCATCTTTATAATGAAGGCCTTCGGTAATCAATCATCACATAGTTATCTTGTATGTAATGCTGGAGTTATAACTGACTTGAGGCAGTGCTTTCTCTGAATCACAAGGTCTTGAAATGGTCACCCCTGATCATCATCTTACTCTTACATTATACAGTCAAAGAGTAAGAGCTACATGCACTGTATATAGCGGACTGAGGTAATAATCTATTTTCAGACTTCTTTAAGATGCCTTTTTATTAACTAAAATTCTGTTTTTAGGTTAGTACTTTATTTCTAATGTAAATAAATGGCAAACTTTTTAGACAAAGTTAATGTGTAATTACTCTTTGTGTGTCTCTTGAGTCTTAAATACGTTTACAGTGATATACTTCTGATGACCTTATAATTAAGAGATCCTCTGTTTTGGTATGATTGTACTCAAGGTATTTCAATTTTGTGGTTGTACTTTGGCAGTTGTGAGTTTGTTTGGGCTTTTTTATATTTCTTTCGTATGGTGGCATGCTTTGAGGTCACATTCAGGTTGTATTGGCTGTTTTATTCCTGCAGTTCTTGAGGGTTTTTCTGACCTTTCCAAAATGCATTTTCAATCCAAATGTGCCCGAGTGCCTCATCAAGTGAATGTTAAGAATGCCGTGGGATTACGGTAGTGATGTCAAACAACTAAAATATAAAATTATTCTCTTGACAGAGAATAAGTGTTAAATGTCTTTTTCAGAATGAAAATATTTAGCTACTACCTATTTGTGTGTTAGTATTTATGTATAGATTTTTAAAAAAGCATCTTTAAAACATTGCTCTTGCCAATTTGAGAATATCACTATACAGTGTGTATTGACTTAAACTGGTTGTTTTTATAAAGCATCTTGTCTTTCAAGTTTTAGGATGCAATCTGAAGGAGTAATGGTTGTGGATGCAGAATGACTTTTTGCTCTATTAAGCTATGCACTTTTGATCTGTACTTGATTTCTTGAATTGCTATCTGATAAGACTTTTTTCCAAAGCCATATAACTGCAGATCATTTCGGGCTTACAGTATGCTAACATTCTCACTTACATTTTGTTTTTCTCCCTTTAAGGCAAGAACTTCTGAAGTGGAATGGATGGGGATATAACGACTCCAAATTCGTCTTCAATAAGAAGGGTCAAGCAGAATTCACAGGAAAAAGGTAAGTTGAAAATTTATATAACTGAAGTATCTTATTTAGTGATTTTTTTTAAGAGTTTAAAAACTGCACTGTTCAGTTAATCCAAAGAAGGCAAAAAACTTGCTTTATCTCATAGAGTAGGTTATTAGTTGTTCTGCATTTAACAGGTTTACTGAATTCTATACATAGTAGCCTAACATGTAGTAAAATAGACTCTGTGGCTTATTGGAAGCTTTATTAAAAGTATTTTAAGGACAAACTAATGTGAGTCTTCTCTGTAATTTGATATACTCTATGCATTAAACTTCCCTTGGAGAATGGAATCAGACTGAGAATTTGCACCATGTTCTAAAGCTTTCAATAACATTCGGCTGGTCAGTGCAATTTTGCCAGTTTTGAAAATCCCTTGAGCATCAACAAGTTGCTTTATTAAACTTCCAATTTGTGTTTTAGGTTTCTTAACCATTGTGCATGGAGCTACTTTATCCTCTGAGCTTAAAATTAAAAACTGCTCTTCAGTTGTATGTTCTGTAGTGGCAACACTTCTGACTTACTATCTACTAGCTCTTTGTACAGCAAGCTTGTTTTTCTAAGAATTTTTTTTTTTGAGGAAATGACATTAAAATTAAGTCTGCTTGGGGATCTCTTAACTTTCTTCCAGTGGGATTTAAGCCTGTCACTTGGCATCTTAACTGGTTTTTTTCTGCCTCAGTGGAAAGTAGTCTTGCAGTCTCTTCCCTGGTTTAAAAAATACACTTTTTGTAAGAGTAAAGAAAAAGAGTTGGGAAGAGAAATAAGTCTGAAATAAGTACTGTCCTTCAGAAAAATTCCTTCCTGTTCTTTGCATTTGTGTAAACTAGCATGAGCTAGTTTGAGTCAAAGCTGCAAAAACCTAATTGGGATGTTGAGCACTTTAATCCTTAATTTCCTAATTTTCAGGCCCAGATTAAAACGCAAAGCCTTGTCTTAGGCACTTGAGTTCATTGTATAATATTTAGGGAGATCTTGGTGGTCTCTCTCCTCTTGGCAGGATTCTGACTCTTGTCACTTTGTCACTCATTCTTTCATCTGATATCTTTAGTTTATCTGGGGTAGGTTGTGCTGCACAGAAAACTTATGCAGTGTGCTTTGAAGGAAAAACAGGTAAAGAGCTGGACTTGGATTTTTTTCAGGAGGAAGCATCGAGGCTGCTGTTTGAGTACGAGTCACTGTTCTAGAATGGGGAGAGAATGGCATTTTTTCCTCCATCTGCATTCTCTCTCTCTAACTGATAGATAATCAGTTGGGCCACACCAGTGTAGTTTCTATGAAATAGTTTGTCACAGTGGCAAAAAGAGTTTTTGGAGTGAAAATAGGAGAATAGGCATCTGCAGAGATGTTGTAGATGCCTTGTCCAAAATAGTATCTTACAGATCTGTTGTCCATAAATTTGTCTAATAGCTTTCAAGTCTGCTGATACTGTCTACTTCTACACCATCCTGTGGCAGCAAGCTCCAGGTTGCTCTTGTGTAAAGTACTTGTGTATTAAACCAAGTATCCCTTACTGTGTTGCAGGATTAGGTGAATGATAGTTCTTCAGCTTATCTACTGCTTTGTTGATTATATAAGACTCAATCGTATCCTCTCTTCCACTTTCTCTCCATGCTGAGAAGTCCTGGGCCCTTTAGTCTCTGCTTGTAAGGCCCCTTGGTCTTTACAGCTGCTGTTCTCTGAACCCTCTCTAGCTCTACTACATCTTTTTGGAGATACAGGGACAAAAAATGTGCAGCACTCAAGGTGTGGATACACCAGGGTTCTACAGAGCAGCAGAGAGATGGTTGTCTTTCTTATACCTGCCCGGTTGATGCGTTACACTGTTGGCTGCTGTTGTATGTTATCAGTGCAGAGGCCATGACTTTTCCTATACTGACTACCAGTCTGATTGTGCAAAATATGCAAGTAATGATTTTTTTTTTCTCTTGCAGTTGTCTACATCTTCTCTTCCATCTTCATTTGTCTGCTCAGGTTTTTTAAGGTCCTGAGTTCCTTCCTATCAATGTCTATCTAAGAGCTTAATATTATTCACCCGGAGAGTCCACTGATAAATCCAGATCACTGATGAAGACATTATATAAAACTGGTCCCAGTACCAGCGTGTGGCAAGCTGCACTCCTGAGTCTGTCTTGGACAGTGATAAATAAACCCTGCCCTTTGCTTCTTATCTTAACCTTATCTTCTCCTTCAGCCTGTAGAAGAACCTTTCCTTCAGTACTGTAGCAATGTATTTTCTTAAATAGCTTTTGGGGTGAACACCTGTGGAAGTATAAAGGAGTGTGGAATTTAATGTTCATTGTATCCCCTTTTATTTACTTTCACATCCTGATAGAACTCCAAGGGTTAGTGAAACAGGATTTCCCTTTATGAAAGCCGTGTTGACTTTCCAACAGACCATGCTTTTCCATGTGTCAAATGATCTTTTTATTATAGACTCTATCGTCTCACCAGGGATAGATGATACTTGCTAGTCTGAGCATCTAAAACTGTTTTTTTGGGGTGTGATGGGGTGGGAGGAGGTCTTTTGAGGGGCTTCTTGCACCATCAGCATGCATACAAAGCTTGCTTCCTGAGCAATCATGTGTTGCATTCTGTGCAGTAAACTCACTAACTCCCACTATGCTGTGACTTCTGTCTGTGTCTTGACTTAAAAGTTGTTTGTTTTCTGATAGCTTTAGTTTGTCCTTTGAATGAATGATTCTGGTTACCCTTGCAAGCTAGCTATAGTAATAGGTTGGCAATACCAAAAAGTATGTCTGGAGAAGAAAAAACACCAAGCTGACTTGAGTCTCTCTGTACCTTTGTTGCAAACTCCTGATGCAAGTGCATTAAACTTTCATTGCTTATTGCACTTTCCTTTTCATAGAATTCGCTTAACTGTTTCATATGGGTATAATGATACAGTAACAGCTGTCACAGGAGGAATGACTGAATGCTGTCTTCCAAGCTGAAGAGTCTAGCTTGAATTGAAATATGGTTGTAGCCTTTTATCTCTAGGAATAGAGTAGGGTTTTTTGCAATAGGAGAACTGGGAGGTAGTTGACATGAGGAGACAAAAGGAATTGATCTTTCTGTGTAATAGGTGACTTAGTTGTAGATTTGGTTGCAACAGCTGTGAAGGACAGGGTCATAATTGGATTAACAGTGATTGAATAATCTTAGAAGGAATACCCATGAGGATAATGCAGTGACCCAGGTGCAAACTATAGTAAGGATTCTCAGCTGCTAAAAGCTCTTAATACCAAAGAAAGGTCCTTTTTCTCTTCTTGGAGAATGTTTGTGCATACATAAACATGCACAAGGTATGTATATGTATACAATTAATAGCAATAGTTTCTACCTGTTTAAGTGTGTCCCTAGCCTTATTTGTTTTCACATGTGGTACACATGTTCAGAAACAGCTCCTCTGTCCCTTGTCTGTAAGTCTTCATCTGTCACATGGCTAAGCTCTTGCCAAAGAGTTTGTGATAGAAATAAATTCACGTTGCTTGATGGATTCTGATGTATTCTCATGAGGGAAGAATCTTTAACGTTGTTTTTCTTCAAAACATGTAAGGTGTACTGAGCTGGGTTTGTGTGTCTGAGACTGCTGTTGTTTACATTGCAGCATGTCCATACACACATGGCCTCTACCTGTAACTGGCATGTAAACTGTGACACTGCTTTCTGTGCTGCTGGAAGGGAGAGACCCTTCTTAAAAGTAAAGATGGGGGGGTGGGATATCTGAAAAGCCTTATGCCACAATTCCCAAAGATTATGAAGGAAAATGATACCTAAGATGTTGACAATTGATTTGATTTTGTGTGAGGTACAGAACAGTTAAATACAATGAAATGTGCAGTTGCATGAAAACTAAATGTGCAGAAGCTTTGCAGGCTTGTAGGTAAAAGAATTTGATTTAAAACTTAACTATTTGTGCATATGTAGAATTGAAAGAAGTGTATCTGACATACAGTCTTTTAATTTAAAATGACCCTATGTAATATTGACTTTTCAGGTACAGATTAGGTGGTATGGTATTACCAACTTTTAAGGAATGGATAGAAAAAACCTTTGGAGCAAGTCTGGAGCACAAAACTACCTCTAGAGTAAGTAAATAGCTGAACCAGTTCCTTTAAACATTAGTCGTGGTGATAATCAAGACCACATTGTTAAAGATAATTCAGCTGTTGTCCTGAAGGTCATCTTGCACACGATTTAAATACAGTGTTTTAATACCTCAGTCTTTGAAAAAAATGTTCTATGTGAAACGTTCAATGACTTAGCATAACTAGTGGTTCCAGGTTAACTGGTAGTACTTTTATTGGAATGAAAGTCTCCAACACAACGAGGTTTTTTTTTTCTCCTTGTTTGTAGGTTGTTTTTCAAGATTGTAGAGACTGTTAGCCTAGAGGGAATTGTTATGCAACTTCAATGTTGTTCACGATAACAAAGACAGAAGATACAGTGAAGTTAAATTGTGTTGCGTTTTCAGTGTATTTAATAATGTTCAAGTTCTTATTTGACAGTAATTTTTTTTACATATCTGGGTGCTGAAAACTGGCTACCAGAATACTCAAGGTTAAACTGAATGTTTTCAGAAAAACAACACATACGGAATGTTCTGGGTTTTGTGAAGCATCCATATTTTGCTTTTCAAGAAGAATAACTCATGTGAGAGTCAAGAGACCTGACTCCCTTCTAAGAATTCCTTTGAGACTGCAGGTTCCTGACTAGATAGTTGCTTAAGCAGTGTTGGAAGCAAGCTGTGCTTGTACAGTGACTATAGTAACCCTGCTTTGGGTAACAGTTTTACCCATTTCTTGAGTGAGTTCAAGATTGCATTTTCTCTGAAGTAGGTAATCTCATAGAGCCTGAAAACTTGAACATTTCTTCAGTCTTCTGTTAATCAAGACGTTCATTCATCTGCTATGACTTGCAGGATCTCCATCTGCCAATATATTTTGAAAAAATTCATCTTGATATGTTTTCCTTGACCAGGATTGGTCTTATCTGGCGGCTGCTTTAATTTGCTGTGACCAGATGTCCTGAGAGACATTGTTCCCTTTCTACATGTAGTGGAAAGATAGAACAAAGTAGAGTGGGAGGACAAGGGCAGATTCTTGAATAGTATGTTGATTCCAGAGCACGTCTTGCAAAACAGCCCTTCAGGATATCTGCCAGAAATGTTGAATGCTTTCGTGTCGTGTTGTGCCCCTCTGGTTCTGATGTTCTTGTTGCAACCTGAAACAGGCTGACTACCTCGACACAGAATAAGAGTCCTTGGAGTCTCCAGTATGTATCTGGACTTCTCATAGCTCTTCTCAACTACTACTGCAGGTCCCCTATTTCCATGTCTCTGCCATAGTTCCTAGTTTATATTTCAGGTTGTCATGCTATACTGGTTTTTCACCTTCTACTATCATCAGAGCATGAAGGAACTTGAGTATAGGAACAGCAGTAGGAGAATAATCTCTTGGTCCATTTGTCTTTCTATCTCATCTCTTCCTGCCTCTATTCTGTAAGACTGGAGGGTTCCCCTTTGCATGCAATTTTTCTGTTATAATTAACAACAGTAAATGTACCTGCTTCTGTGATGCTCAAGGTCTGATGATGGTTTTTTCCCTTTTCAGACTAGACTTACCACAGACAGCAGTTTAGACCTAGTTCACATAGTCTTCCGGTCTAGCCTTTCAGTGCACAAGTCTTAAAATATTTCAGTCCCATAAGAATAAATAAAGGTGTATTTTTGTTTGGCGTTGTGTGTAAGATTTGTATGGACAAATACTAACTTTTCAATCTTGAGGATGAAAACTAAGGGATTAAAGTACTTGTGGAAGAGAGATAAAAATCAAGATGCTTAAAACCATCTGCAAGGAATTGTTATAGCTTTAAGTAGTTTGTGTCCCTCTTATGGAGAACAAAGATTTTCAAGCACTTGGTGTTCAACTTGAAATGTCTATAGTTCTGTCTATAGAAATCCATGAAGAAGCAAAAGTTTAAAATAGAAAATGTAAGCACAGCTAGCAGGGATTATTTTTTTTTTGAAGTGGTTTAAAGATCTTTGGTACCTCCTTGTTTGTTTCTCATGTTTCCCAAGTTTCTGTCAGAGCTCTGCTCTTTGGGTTAGCGAACAGCACTGTGTGAATGCGCATTAATAGCAGAACAGTAAGAGCTAAGAGCAGCAATCCAAGACCTGACTTCCTCTGTGCTTATTGTGACTGGCCCCTAAAGTGATGATCTCTCAGTAGCGATGTACCTCTCACCTAAGCAACACTTAATCTCAACTTCTGTGTTTGCAGGTGACAAAGTGAATATGTTGGAGGGAAAAGCCTTTTTCTCAGATGTCTGACACTTATTTCAAGAAGTATAATATTATCCTTAAAGCAAGTCAGAACAGCACATATCCTCTTCCAGAAGTTAAATCATTGTTAAAACTGTATTTTCTTTAGGTCATATGTCCCATATGAAAAGTCTAAAACAAACACTTGGCTGTCCTTTTGAACTTCTAAATGTTGTTAGCTATCGGTCATGAACGTATCTCATGCAGATACTGCTTTCTGAATTATCCCTGTAAGAACTCTCAATTTCTACACAATACTTCAATATAACCTTACGTAGTTTCTTGTAGGGTGGACACTGGTTGGCAAGCTCCATCACCATGGATCTTTTAACTACCTGAAGACTTTCCTGTTGAAGGTTAAATCTTCCCTTCTTCAGCTCTCACTATTTTGAGACTCAACCCATTCAGAATAGACTGGTGCTGTGGTGGCAGATAGGAGACTATTAATCTCCCATTATTTTCCTTGCTGTTAGCTTGGTAACTGGTGCTATCCTATAAGCTTTTGTCTTAAGGCACATGTTGGCGAAAAGTATCAGCTGTTCTGGAGGCTATGTAGAGCAAAGATAGGCAAAACTCCATTCCAGGAAAGAAAACTTGGATGGGTGGGTATAGCCTTTTGTAAAAGGCTGAAATTTCAGAAGGTGAAAGAAAAGTGAATTCAGTTTTGCTGTTTTCTCTTTGTACTTGTCAAGAAGCATAGATTAGGCTCATCAAAGAAATGTCTAAGTTTCTTTGACTATGTGGAACATTTTGTACAAAATACTTCCTGGTGGTAGGGCTGTAAGCAAGCACTTTCTGGCATCATTAGGCGGCCTATAGTCTTTCCTGATGGCTTTATAACAAAATTGCAAGAATGTTCTTCTATTTAAGTTGAAGGTGATGTCGGTTAATTTGCCAGCAAGGTTTTAATGACACAAGTTTGAAAGCACTGCACTATGTTTTAACTAATTTTTGTGCAACTCCTAATTTTTAGAATGTATTTAAAATAAAAGATGGGGATAGTGAAAAATTTTCAGTTCTCCTGTTCTTGAACTTCAGGGACTTTGATAACTAGAAGTAAGATTCTTGACTAACATTTTCTTTCAAAATAGGAGTTGAAGACCAGAAGTTAGTTTTTAGTCATAAGACAAGCTTTATACCTAATTAAAAAACTCCTTAATTGGAGTCCATTTGTAATAGAAGACACATTCCTTTAGGGAGGTTAACTGTGGAAAAGTATAAATGAATTTATTGGCTCCATTTTTAAGGAGGAAAAAAAAAGCATGTTTTTTTGGAACCTTCAAGGCATTTAAAAGCATTACACTTAATGTCTACAGAAATCTTATTTTTTTGGAACTGGGTCCTGTAAAGAACCCTCCTTCTCTAAGTGGGTTTAAAAAGTCAACACATGAACTGTGTTTTTATGTGCCTGATATCTAATGTGGACTTTAGAAAAGAGAATTAAGTGGCTAGGTCTGCACTTTGAGAAGCCATAAGAATACTATACGAGACATCCGTTGTAAGGACCTGGAGGAATGGGTTTTTAGAAAATCTTTTAGAAAATCTTAAGCAGGGATTCTCCCTCTGGATTTACAGAACCTTGATTCAAGACCTGTTCATAAGCCAAAATGTCTGGTGTAGCTTCTTTGAAAGAAAAACTTTTTTCCAAGGTGTTGTTCAGGACTTCTAGCTAGAGGCTTTCTGGAAACACCTGCATGTTAGTGACTGAACATGGATTTTATAAAGTCTTTCTGATATGTGAGGTCTACTTAAAGTATGCTGGTTGTGTTAGATTAGTCAAACTTAGTTTTGCCTTGCTTTGGACTTTTGATTAGGCTTTGGTCTGAGATGGTTTTAACTTCTAGTACATGACAGAAGGAGGGAAGTTGGTAGAAACAGAACTGTAAATAGAGGAATTTGCAGATTTGCAGAGTGGGCAGTTGCTTTAGTATGTATTTCTCTGTATTGGAGGAGGAACTTATATTCAGAAAGAAATTTTGACCTTCAATCTCTACCCCTTTATCAACAGGAGAGTCTCTGGTTCTGTTCAGGCAGCTGTTTTTCTTGGATCTTGGGAAGTCTTTAAAAAGGTGTTTTGTTCATTATGCACTCATAAGCTAGCGCATTTCTCCAGATTTCTCAGGAGGAAAAAGGGTAAGAATGTGCTATTGAAATAAAACTTCCTGTGTGCATCTAGCCAGCTGAGTACCAGGTAGGACAAGTGGGATCAGTGATTGAAGATGACGAAAAGCACTTCTGTATTTTTGACCTTAAATAATTGTGTTTGGGTATCAGTTAGTGTTAACCTGTTTTTATTATTTCTGTTGAACAGAAATGCTGTAAGAGTGAACCTACCTTTAATGAACTTATTTTCTTGTATTGTAGGCATCCTTAAATGTTAATGATGTACCTCCATCCATTGTAAATGAAGAATTTCTTCAGGATCTTAGAGCCACTAAAATCTCATATTCGCAGGATGCAGAAGATAGGGTATTCAGAGCTCATGGTAAGAGAACTTCATTTAGGTAACTGTGCTGCTTTTGATGGTTCCTTGTTTGAACTTGTTAACTTATTGTTTGTGTTTCAGGTCACTGCCTACATGAGATATTTGTACTCAGGGAAGGAATGTTTAAGCGAATTCCTGATATAGTTGTATGGCCTGGTAAGCTTTAATTGTCTTATTCTCCCTTCTGATCTGGGAGGCCGTTGTTTACTAAACTCCTGTGCTTTCTTGTCACGGGAAAGCTGTCTCTTGGTTCATTGACTTCACTTGTCTTTACAGAAACTGAAGGAATTTTCTCATGAATGGTAATCATAATTGTTTAACATCTGGATTGCAGGTTGTGCCTGTGAAATCCCACCACCTTGTGGGGAAGTCAAATTTATTATTAAATATAGCTGAAGTTTCTGTTGACAGCTGAATTCATGACTTAAGTAACCACAGTGTAATTTTAACTTGTATGTTCACCAATAATAGTTGTCTAAACAGCAGTCTAAATCTTGATTTTTTTTTTAAAGGAGTACATGGTAGAAGGGTAGTGAAACGTTTGTATTAAAGAACTTTGTTTTACGATATGCTGTGCTTTAATTAAAAAAAGTATAACACCTGTAACTCCTATCAGAACACTTTACAAAGGATCATTGAAGAAAGAGCAGTGCAGTCTGAGTACAGGCTAGGCCCATTTAAATAGAGTAATAACTAACGCTGTTGTAGATAATATGTAGCAGAAAATATGCTTGCTTCTATACAGTAGAAGGATACAAATACTTAAACTGCTATGACTTGATTTGCACACTCGCATGATTTTTCTACTTGAGTCAGGTTTCTCTGGTCACTAGGAACTACTTTCCATGTGTGATTCTTCAGTAGCTAACCAAAAGCTCATTTGATCTACATACCTGTCAATTTCTATTCAGCTGTATGAACCCCACTCTTAAAAAAACTTTCTGATACTTTGATAGCTGCACTGCATTAGAAACCCCAAAATTTCTGATAAGAACTTAGTCTTAGCTCAGTTTTGCTTCCTTTATTTAGGGGAAAAAAAATCACATATGGGAAGCATAAAAAGAGGCACTATAAGATGCATCTCATTACTTGAGGACAGGTACTGACATGACAGCACTGGTGACTGTGAACAGTACTTGCCACAGCTTTATTTTGTGCAGCTCCAAAAGCAACTGAAATAAAATGATTGACTACCTTTGTTTAAAGCTGCTCTGTATGGCAAGAGCAAAGCAGCCAGAGTTCATAAGCCTGTTTATTCAGTCCTGCTCATTCTCTGCTGTTTGCATGAACTCATGTACGCACTGTACTTGATCCTTTTTTGGATCATTTTCCTTGCCTGTGCACAAGCATTTCCGCTTCCCTCTTTGACCAGATAGAGAATGCATTCTGAAAAAGTAAATTTCACCAGCAACTCTACTTTTCAAACTGAATGTCAGCCAGGAAGAAAAAGATGTGATGTTCAGCTCTCAGAAGAGACTTATTTCTCACTTGGAGAATAAGTTGGCAATAAATTGGACAGCCTATTTTCAATAAAAACTTTAAAGTTGATTTGTTCTCTAAGATACCTAGATAAATTGTTAACTGCTTGGTAGCCCATCTTGCTCTGAGAATTTGCAGGAGGTCTCAATCCACGAGTAGAGCAGGAGACTAAGGCTGTAATTAGTTCTTCAAACGTAGAATTGTTTCATGTCTAAACTTTACTCTGGAACTCTGATACTTCCGAGCCCAGCTCTTATTTAGTGCCTAACTCTTTGAAATGTCTTCCTTGCTGGCGTCAGAAAAGGAGCTGCAGCTTATTCAGATTGCAATATTTAGTACTAAGCACAAATAACAGTACTAAGCACAAATCCTGTTTTTTGACTGTTTGGACTTTTTTAGTTTGCCATGAAGACGTAGTTAAAATTGTGGAATTAGCCTGCAAACACAATCTCTGCATAATACCATTTGGTGGTAAGTGTTATGAAATCTTAAATCTGTTTAACATTAATAGTGAAAATGTATTCTACTTGAATTAAATTTAAATATGTGATCTTAGTAATTTATTGTACCAATAATTCAATAGTTAGATTTTTTTAGTAGTAATTTAAGTGTGGTCTTAATTTTTTTATGATCTTGCAGTATTAAAAGCTGCTATATTCAATTTAGTGAAAGTCATTAAAAGTATGTCAACACCTTGAATATTGCATGTGCAAGAGGAGTGATTATATGAAGCTGAAATCTACCTCTGTGCCTTGGAAGTAAATAAGTCCAGAGATTCAAATATCTGTTAGAGGTATCGTGTTTTTGGACGAATTACTTGTGCTCTGTTCCCACAAACATGTATAAATTAGGTTTTTTGTTGTACTGTTGAAGCTCATAGGTCCAGGGAGGATTGTGGTCAGACACTGTACTGCAAAATCATTATCTGTAATTCTAATTTCCTTTTAGACATTGTTCAGTTTGAAAGTTATACTAGAGGCTCCTGTGGTAAGGGGTTTTCAGGAAATGTTCCAGGTACAGAGTACAGGTAAATGCCGGTATCCTCTGTGTCCATCTCAGCCTAAAGAATTTCTAAAGGACTTCAGGTTTTTAATCATGGATGCTTTTTCCTTTAAGCCTGCTGAAGTAGAGTGGTGAGCTATCTTGTTTTGACTTGGAGCTCAGGGAACACAGGATGTTGGCTTTCATGAGGTGTGAGAAGCTTTTTGTCAAGAACTCTTAATTCTGTGGGATAAATCTGTGTGTTTTACTTGGTACTTGCTTATGCTGTAGGAGTATAGCCCCTGTAGGAAGGACATTTACTATTTGAGAAGATAAGCATGTCACTTGAAGACAATACCTAACTAATGGAGCTGGTTTCTCCCTAAAATGCTCTCACTCTTGACAGATACATCTGGAGAGCTGTAAGACTACTACAAATCACCTTTGGTACTATAAATTGGTATAGCTGAAAGCAGCAATATTGACTCTCTCCTGTTCACTGACCAGGGTACAGAAAGATCTTCAGATTGTTTTCCAAGTCTGTTTATACTGAACTGTGGTCAACTTCTGGAGCTATTACTGTAAGGGTTGGTATTTAAGGAAAGTGCCACCTTTCCTATCATTGGAAACAAAGGTGACAGGCTTTACTGCTCTTGGAGAGTGTTTTATTAGTTGCCACTGTCTCTGTACTTGCCATTGGTTGTTCTTCTGGTAGCTTGCTGTGGATCTTTTTAGCATCCTAGTCTCTCTTCCTGTGGCTTTTGTAGTCTTTGAGAAGCCGAAGGCATCTTGGAGGCTGTTCTGTGACATCCTATAAAGATACATTAGAAACCTCCAGAGAAGTTTGATGTTTGGTTTTATCCATTTTTTTTAATAGTTATACCCTTTCAGTTTCTTTCTTGCTTTCAGATAAGTATTGCATTCCTGTGTTAGGTAGACTTCTTAAGCCAACTTTCTAGGTAGAAGTGTAGTGGCTTCCGTAGTGATCTCAAAAGAATATATAGAAACCATAGCTATCTCTGTTTCTTTCATGGCTTTGTTATTTCTTATCCTTCCTTGTTTTAAAACTCTATCCTGGACTTAACAGAAGCAACTGAGATGGTCACAGAATTTCATGATTTGTTATCGAGTGCTATTAAAGCATTGTCAGCTCCAATGCTGCCTTGATTTTATGAAACCCAGTTTGGGAGAAGAGACAGCCTTAAAAGGCTAATCACTAGCCTCAAACAGTTAACTTCAGTGATTTTTATTAAGTTCAATATCAGAAAGGAGGGAGAGAGGGATGGTATGTGAAGAAAAGCTACCTGAGAATTTTATGATCACAATGTTACTCCCATATTTGCAGGAGGGACGAGTGTCTCTAGTGCCCTCGAATGTCCTGAAGAAGAAAAAAGAACAATTGTCTCACTGGATACGTCACAAATGGTATGTTTCTCGTAATTTTTTTTTTTATTCTACGGTTACTTTGAATGGTGATCACTAGAGAATGACACTTCTTTCTTTGCAAGAGTAAAGTAGGGATGGAAGTATTAATCTGTACCATGCATAATTAAATTGGTACTCCTTCAGTTTAAGTGATATTTTGCTGATGTGAGCCCTGTACTACTTCATATGACCTGTATGTATTTAGTAAGAAAAAAATCAAGCCTTCTGTTAAGCCTTCTTATAGCAGCTTTAAGTGAAAATCAGAGGAAGCTACTGTTCTTCTATATTAAACTTCTATCTGTGGTTAAATGAAAGGCTAGGAGGAAGTTATTTGTTATTGAAAATTTCACTAGTTTTTGCAGACTTGCACTTAAAGGAAAGGTTGGTAAGGTGACCTAATATCTATAAATCAACTTGAAGGATCAACTTTAAAGAAAGAAAACCTAGATTTTTAGTGTAGATAGCATCTTGAGAATGTGAAGTTCGTAGCTTTATGACAGTTTAGAAATGAAGTTCTGTAAAATTTAGTGCTAGTTTTCGTCTTTCCATTATGAAGGAGCTTTGTACTTCTAAAGTGATAGTTTTATGACTACCTGGTAATGAGATGCTTCAGAAACAGCTCTGTATCTTTGATGTAAAGCTCTACTGTCTCTGAGCACCTGCTGAGCTTATTAACTCCTTTAGCCTTGAAGGTAGGACCTGGGTTTTGGCTCCATTTTCTCCACTCAGTCAGTGGTGCTTCAGTTAAACTTGTTGTTTCTCAGCATGTCTGGCTACCAAGTGACCTTTTCTGCAATGGTGGTAGTTGCGTATTGAAGGAAGCTCTTCGGGTGTCTATACGGAGTGAAATCCAAAGAGTGCAATACTGACTCAGGACTTCATTTGAACTCATTAATTCATAGCCCACAGCTTTGACTTCTTTCTGGTTTGGGGGTAGGAAAGGAATGTGGTTAATTCTTATGCTTTTGTGTCAGCTAGATATATAAGTAGACACCAAGTCAGAAAATAGACCACTTCCATGTGTCTTGAATGACTCTGCCAGCCAATTCTTGTAATCATTAATGAGGAGGGAAAATAAGGAAATTAAGGTGAAAAGAAGCATTGTCAGAGTTAAAACCTGGATGTCTCAGAGCAGTTAAGATGATTGGCTAAGTTTTACTATTTTAATAGACACTTAATGGGTATCTTCATCTTGCATGTAGGGTCTATATTGCATAAAAACTGATTTATATAAGCAGTTTATGTTGAAACTTGAAGGTGTCTGAAGGGAGCTGAAATAGCTGGCTTTGAATAATTAGTTAGCCCAGGTGTTGTGAGGGGAGACAGCTGCTTTAAAGCGTAGTTTAAGTTGGACTACAAGATGTCCACACTTCTGTCATTTGAAATATCAAGGCAAAGGGAAGTGAGAGCTGTTCCTCTATACAATATTAACACACAAAATTATGGAAGTACACCAGTAGTGTACTTAATAAGAATGAAGAGTGGAAGCTGAAGCTTCTGTGGTGTCCTTACTATAAACAAAGCTAAAAACATGTTTGTTAAGTTTCTCCTTCATGTGGATTGTCCTCACTGACAATTGTGCTTAGTGCACCATGTAACTTGTAGCGTTTACTAATTTTTCTGTTAATAGAATATACTGATGGGACAGTGAGTGTCTCATCAGATAAAATTATATAATCCTTCCAAGTATCTTAAATCTCTAAAGTACATACATACTCTGACATCCTGTAGTATATCTTGCTTCTAGCTTACTGTGTCAAAATCTAAGAGCTGAACTGGAATAACTGAATGCAGTCTATTTAACCTATGGAGTATGTTTAAGAAAACTCTTCTTGGTGTATACTTAATGTCCAGATAGTCAGACTCAGACACCTTCAATCATGTTAATTGTGAAAATCACTGTATTGCTTAACTTCTGTAAGAGTTTTGACTTCTTTCTGGCTTTTCTGCATTGTTTCTGTAAACATTCCTAGCGTAAATTGACTAATAAGTATGTAACTTACACCACTATAGTGGTGATTTCATAAATTGTAACCTGTTGCATAGCTGTTTGAGAGAATGAAGGGGCTCAGCTTCCACTGCTGTAATAAGTGGAGTTGTACTAATAGTAAACTGTTGCATATTGATCCTATAGCATTAGGGAAGGAAATAAACAAAGATCTTTAACACTGATTCTTAGTTTTGATTGGCTTTTCAACAGAATCGGATTCTCTGGATAGATGAGAAAAACTTAACAGCTTGTGTGGAAGCTGGCATTGTTGGACAAGATCTGGAAAACCAGGTATTTTTGGCTTGTCAAGCATCTAGTATTTCTCCATATTTTTCTTAGCTGGTCCTCGTATGCGTGGCTATGAACCATATCACATTGAATGCTTTATTTGATGAACATTTTAAAATTTTTTTCTTTTTAGCTCTAGCCACAAAATGCAATTACAGTAATAAGTTGACAATTCATAGGATGTAATGCTATGTTTTGTTTCAGACCTTAGATACACCCTTGTGGTTGCAAGGCATGACACTTGGTACCAATTACCAGGAAGAGTTCAAATTGTCATTTTGTGATGTATGTGATGCATGTTTTAGCCATTTTGGCCAGAGGTAGTTTCCTCAGAAGAGCATATAACAGATCTGCTGTTCTTGCTGCTTCTTAAGGCTAGCTACAGAGAGTAGCAGAAAGGATGGAGAGCTGCCCAAAACAAGAGTCCAGTGGAAGATTAGATCACCTTCATTTCTAAGTGACTTCTAGTGGCTTTTAATTGCAGTTTATCAGATGAGCCACAGCACCCTTCTGAGGGTCTTTCTCGGTGCTCTTCTATAATCAAGACAAGTTGTGGATGTTTGTTACTATTCTTCAGGATGTGCAGTTCTGCTTATCTTAAAAAAAAAAAAAAAAAAAAAAAAATTCTAGTACTTGACTTGTTTGATAGCTAAATGTTGTCTAACCTTTTCTTAGTGCCTAAATGCACTTTACAAATACGCAGAGATTTGAAGGGTTTTTTGAACGCTTTTTTCCAGACCACTTTTTAGAAGAGTACTTGTCATACTTGACTAACAGAGCTGTTTATGATGAGAAAGATAGCCTTTCCTGCGTCTTATTTTATTTTCCCTTTTATCATTTGATGTAATGTTTTAACCTTTCCAGATCTGTTTCTTTCAAGCTTGGAATTAAAATGCAAATTCTCTGCATTTAAATGACATTTTTCTAGGGTAGTAGTTTGATATTTCACTATTACCTATCCTTTAAATTCCACTACTTTTCCTTTCACTTAAAGTAAGGGACAATATTCCCTTGCTGCTTATAGTTCTTACGAGCTGAAATACTACTGTTGCAGTTATTCTTTTTGAATATTTTTCATCAGGTTTTTTTACTATGAAAAAAGTACTGGGTGTCAATTTGTTCAATATTGAATATAAACTAGTATTCATACAAATATTTTAATATATGGAATGACTCTGAGCACGTGAGTACTTCTGTGCAATTTCTTCAATGTGCAAAGAATACAAAATCAGGTAATCTACTTAAAGTGTATGTGTATATATGTTTTAAAAATGCTTATTACGTACAAAATCCCAGTATTACTGGCAAATGGGATGTGATTAAAGCTAGGACTCCAAGTTGTGCTTGTTTTGTATAGTACAAACTGAGCATAACTATGACTTAATATTATAGTTAATGCCAATGCAGACTTCCACTGAAGTACAGGTAGAATGCAGATATACCTTTGGACTGTGCAAAGAGGTAATGGAAAGGTTTTTTTGGTTTGGTTTGCAGCTTGCTAGTGTTAAGTGAGCTTTGGATTGGAGGCTAATCCAACTTGGTGCCTTAAGAGACTTTACCAGCATTGTCTAGGAATATGTTACAGTGAAGAGGTTTGGTGCCTCTTACTGTGTTCCTGATTTTTTGGGTGCTGAAGTAATTTAGTAGGCTATCTCATTTACAGATATCATGAACCTTATAACAGTAACTAAAATCAAGAGCTGAATTCTAAACAAATAACAGCTTTGGAAAACCTGATATTTGACAAAAGTTAGGCTGTAAGTGTTATAATGGGGCATTCAAAATCAATGAACATTTCACACATTTGTCTGTGTTAGCTAGTAACTTTAGTGTGATTAAGACACTATTTTCTGTGGGATGATAACTCCAGATATTAGTGGGCTCTATAGAGAAGCCTCAAGTTACTTGTTTTTGTCAGAACAGAATATGGAATAATAGCTGATAGATGAGGGCTAAAGGTGACAAAAGGATAATGAAGATAGAACAATATTTGGTATTGTTTTTTGTAATTATAGGAAAAGCTAGTACATGCTCATATTTTCTGGATGAGGCTGTCTCTTGCATCTGCAAAGTACATGGCATATCTCTCCCCTGTCCTCTAAGTGCTCTTAGCGCATCCTGTTCATACAGCAGGATTCAAGGAGTTCAGACCAAGTGCTTTGTACATGCACAGTCAGTTGCAAGTTTTCAAAAGCATGGTCTTCTGCTGTGCTTGTGTTTATACAACTTGTAGAAATTGGTATGTTGTGACTGAAGCAAATTTCTTATCTTGGGGAATGAGGAGGTTTTAGGCTCCAACCCTTTCCCTAATATGTGACAAGAAAGAATATAAAGCCACAAGCTCCTCTGGTATGAGAGAGGACCATAAGCTAGATGAATCACCGTAGACATTACATAGAAGTGACTTTCAATCATTTAAGTTAGAACCACTTTGTGCAACAGAACATAGTTAATGATCCACATTATGTGATATACTTAAATACCTATGTCCAACTGGACCGTTATCAGTTGGTCAGTGCAAATTGATCATCTCAAATGCACTAACACAGTTATCACTTAATGTGAGACTGTTGGGTCTTTTATTCTTCCTGTCCGACAGCTTTGGTGTTGCAATTCTGAGGGCATCCAATCAACCTCAGGTGCTGTGCAGATGGCAAAGCCAAGTTAATACAGAAAAACGAGAAACAAGTGACTACTTAATGTACAGGAATGTGTGATCTGCATCACAAATAGTTGACAGTGTTGCATACAGGAAGCCCAACCAGATGGCTGTATATTAAAACACATCACTCCTTGAGAGAATTAAGTACAGGCAATTTGCTCACATTTTCTGCAGACCTGCTGCGTATCACATTAGGATAGAAAGAACAAGAGATTAAGTGCCTTATTGGCAGCATTTGTGCAAAGTTGGCAGTTCCTTAGTTATTTTTTTCCATGTGTATTTGAATTCGCATCTTCTTATGAACAATAGAGGTCTTAGTTTTAAAATATGGGAGAGGAGTATTATATGTTGATATGTAGCACAGTGTATGCACAGTAGAAGCAGAATGAATTTGCATTTCATTTACATATCAGAGACAAATCTTGTGCCTGAATAAATGGGTGTGTGGTCAGGATACTTTTTAAAAAAAACACACACACACCCCCAAACCAAAACACAAACAAAAAACCCCAAAAAACAAACAAACAAACCTTAGCATGTTGATATTTGCAGTACTAAGCAAATGCAGGCTCTGTAGAATGTATTTTTTCCTTTCTTTAGCTTGCTGAAAGTGGCTTCTGTACAGGCCACGAACCAGACTCCATGGAGTTCAGTTCACTAGGAGGATGGGTAGCAACACGAGCATCAGGCATGAAAAAAAACATCTATGGAAACATTGAAGATCTGGTAAATAGTTCTAACGTTTTTTCTAATTAATTATTCTGTTTGGAGGTTTAACTTTTATAATGACTCACAGTGAGAGGGAAAAGGGATAGTAAATTGCGGTTCTCTTAGAAAGTGTTACAGTTTTGGAATCAAATGTTGACTGAAATGCTTGTTTGCCTGCTTTTGTATTAGTACTAATAATCCTTATCACTGATCTAAAAGTCAATTTAATTTTGGTACTCACTGGCTAGCTTAAGGAATTGTTACGCTGTCCTGACTCTGGTGCCTTCTTTCACCATTTTGTGCTTTCTATTAATCCAGTGTAATAATCCTGTCAAACTTTTAGGGTGATTCCAGAAGGCCTGTGTTCTGTCCTACCTGTTGTGCATTCCTGAAGTTGTCTAGCTGCATCATCTAATTCCGACAGCAAGCTAGCTCTTTCCACATTCCTACCTCCCCCTGGGCTAGTAGTTTTTTCAAATCAGTAGGCTGATCTAATTGACCACGTGGATGCACAATGGTGAAATCTAATGCCACCACATGGTCTGTAGAAACCCTGAGGAAGGAAGCAATGGACTGGGAATGGCAGTATTCTACTCTTGAATCTGATTTAAGCATTAAAATGGTTCATCTTATATTAACCAAGGTAACTTTGCTTTTTAAAGCATACTTTTTGATTTAAAAATCTACCTTTTCTGTTATAACAAATACATTGAATATATTGAAATCAAATCATCACTGTTCAGACTTTGCCTGCCTTTTTGCTTCAAACTTCCACTTTTCTCTTGTAGTTTGTACAATAGCCCTTACACACACACAGGTTTTTTCCTTCTTTCCTGCAGCACACACTAGGTAATGTATCCCTATCACCTCAGGCTTTGTCATCAGCTCATAGTTCACAGACATGTTTGTTCTGTGCGCAGACGTGACACTTTACTATCAGTGACTGAGCTTGGCAGGAACTACAGTTTTTATTCAGTAGGCCTGGCTGAACTAAAACTACTAGCACTTACAAAGTGTTATCTGTCCCCTACTGCCTGAAGTGTTACTGAATGGTATAGTTTTGGTTGTACTGGGAGATGAAGCAGAAGGCTTTTCTATTATGGAAACATAACTTCAGGTTAAAGCAGCTTCTGAAATTTTCATTAGGAGGAAATAGGATTGCAAATTGAGTCAGAACAGTTAATGAGTTTCAAAATGCCACAGTGAGAAAGTTTCAGGGAAGTGTTTACCTTCTGAGGAAACTTTATATCTAGAAATGGTGTGTTATATAAGCTGCCTAAAATCCACTTATTGCAGAATCAACAGTTCGTAAAATGCATGTAATTAAATTCTTGAACAACTCAGAGCAGGATGAAAACTACCTAGCTACCTGTGCCTGAAAGTTTTAAAGCCGTTAGTTGAAATTCAGTAATTTTTCATCATTTAAAGGCTTCACTAAAAAAAAAATCCAAACCCCACCCTTTCTTGGTAGAAAATCATTGAATAAAGGATTAAAAAAAAAATCTGGGCTCTGTATTGCATGTGCATTAATAAAGCTGGAAGCAATAATATTGAAAAATATTTTAAAAAACAACCTTCTAGCCTTACACATATGTATCAGTCTTATGGCAGATTTAATATTGATAATCTATTTCACAAAGCTTACTTCTGTCTTTCTTCCTGATAGAAATATTTCTGTAGCAACTGATGGCTGAATTGTATTGGCTTTATCAAGCAGTTCTCAAGCAAAATTTAAGCAAAATTTAAACCCTCACTTTTTTCCTCTGAAGTACTATGTATATTCTGGATTAAAATCCTAGTATTCATAAAGTATTGTCTACACTGAGAAACAAAACAGTTTTAACTGGTACTGTCTGCATGTAGCCAACAGCTGATTTGATTTGGCATAGAACTGGAAACAATCTGTTGTGCGGGCAAACGATGCTGTGTTAGAAATCATTGTTGGTAACAGTCCTCAGGTTATCCCAAAAGTTCTTGGGGCTGCCTACAGAATGTCTAAAGTCTACAAAGCTAAGTGTATCAAGCTTAATATAAATTTTGTAGAAAATAAATATCATACAAAAAAAGTCTGTGCTTAATGCTAGTATTTATAGTCATTGCATATTGTTTAAACAGGTGATTCATATAAAAATGGTAACTCCTAGAGGAATAGTAGAAAAAAACTGTCAAGTACCTCGCATGTCAACAGGACCTGATATCCATCACTTCATTATGGGATCTGAAGGTATAAACACAGTAATTTCACGTAACTGCATCTTAATTCAGCTTCTGTAATGGCTTGATGATTTGAGCATCTTTAATGCTGTGGCTTCCAGTGTGTCTATGGGTGGCATTATGCAGGCATGAATTTCTTGTATTAGGATAATATATTGAGACCTTAATTAGGACTGAAGTTAAGCAACTGTGAACAGTGCTTAAAACAGAACTGTGGAGTTAGCCTACAAGTCTAGTAACAAATACAATGATTTAGAGGATATATTGTAAGAATTTACCATGTAAATAGTCAGGAATAAATCGCCTACTACTACAATACTGAATTTTTGGGATTTCTGATTTATGTTAACTTACAACATCCTGGTAAACAGTTGTTAAATTGGATAACTTGCAAGAAGTACATCTTGCAACACTTTACTCAGTTTTTCTTTCTTCCTGAAGGAACTCTTGGAGTGGTTACTGAAGTTACGATAAAGATTCGCCCGATCCCTGAATACCAGAAGTATGGCTCTGTGGTCTTCCCCAACTTTGAACGAGGAGTGGCCTGCTTAAGGGAAGTGGCAAAGCAGGTAAAGAAAAGCTGGATGTTGACTTCTCTCAAGAACACAGATTCTAGTACTAGGGATGTGCTGATGCTCTAGTATTTCTAGTAATTGATAACCAAGGATTTAAAATAATATGAACCTCGTAAGTGTATATGGTCCAGGAGGCTTTTGGAAATTAGGCATTTGAGGATTGAGCACGTTCTGAATTTGCTCAATATTCTGAGCCAAACTGTGGATGTGCCCTTTGATGGCTTTTTTCAGTGGGAGTTATTTGCATATCTCAGTACAGAAAATTTGGTTTTGCATCTCCTTCATCAGAGAGTTTTATCCTCAGATTAATTCAGGACTATGTAAAAGGGACCAGTATTTAAAAGAATTAAGTTGCAGCATACAAGTAAAAGGCAGTTGAATTTATGGCTCTGAAAGTGACAAAGGAACAAAAGTCACGCTTGGAAGGGTATGGCCTGTGTTTAGAAAACACTTCCTGAAGCATAGTGACATGTTCAGGTGAGCTGGATATTTTGAGGTGGAATTGTGCTTACACTGTAGTATTTAAATAGAACCTTCTGAATAGTGTGGTCAGATGGTTTCAGGTAGCAAAACTCAAACATGGGTATGCAAATTGTGTAATGCTTTTCCTCATGGCTATGCTTCCAAGCAAATCTTACACTGGCTAGCCTCTTTCTTCACAATCTTAGCCTAACTTTTCTCTGCCCTGTGCAACACGCATCAAATAATTTCTATGAATGGTGGAATATACCCTGAATTGGGGAAGCAATTTCAGAAATGTTTTAATTAATGCCAAACTAAACACAGCTTTACATTTTTTTCAGTGATTGGTCTAAATTAATGACTTAATGTTCCAAGCCAGATGTTCAAACTGGTATGTGAGTGACATGTATATGCTAGTCAGCAGCACTTGCCAGTTCTTCTGTCGTGCTTCTGCTGGTGCTTGTTCTTCCTGTTAAAGGTACCTAAGCAGACAGTTTGAGAATGCTTAATCATACGACTGATCAACATTTTAAGTCAATTAAGGAACTAATATCTTTTCCCTAGCTATGGGCTTAGTTAGAAGAGGAAAAAAAGGCACTATTAGCACTTAGCATTGCTCCATTTCTAAGCTGCTGCTGCTGTTTCACTGCTTACTTGAGCCTGAACTACTTACTCCTTTCTTCTGTTGCCCCTCACATCGATCGTGGTAGCAATTACAATGATCGCTATCTGAAAAGCTGTTTTTTGTCTCTATTGGTCTACTTTAATGTAAGAATAACCAACCTGCAGGTTATGGGTGGGTTGGTCTCATTTAAAACCACTCATCCAGCCTTCTTCTGTTAACCTGCCTGGTGAGCTATCTTAGTTCTTCTTTATGTTCTTTCTTCCTATCGCGTGACCAAAGTATTAATGATATGATGGAGGGTGAACATGTCAAATCAAGTGATAGGAGTACTTCCATATCCATGTGATTAGATGAAGACTATCCTAAAATTCAGGCTTTGTTATATTCATATATGTATATATGTAGCCCCTCACTACAAGAAGGACATTGAGGTGCTGGAGCGTGTCCAGAGAAGGGCAACGAAGCTGGTGAAGGGTCTAGAGAACAAGTCTTATGAGGAGTGGCTGAGGGAACTGGGGCTGTTTAGCCTGGAGAAGAGGAGGCTGAGGGGAGACCTCATCGCGCTCTACAACTACCTGAAAGGAGGTTGTAGCGAGGTGGGGGTTGGTCTCTTCTCCCAAGTAACAAGCGATAGGACGAGAGGAAATGGCCTCAAGTTGTGCCAAGGGGGGTTTAGATTGGACCTTAGGAAAAACTTCTTTATTGAAAGAGTGGTCAGGCCTTGGAACAGGCTGCCCAGGGAAGTGGTAGAGTCACCATCCCTGGAAGTATTTAAAAGACGTGTAGATGAGGCGCTTAGGGACATGGTTTAGTGGGCATGGTGGTGTTGGGTTGACGGTTGGACTTGATGATCTTAGAGGTCTTTTCCAACCTTAATGATTCTATGATTCTATGATTCCTCTGGCCATATGTTTCGGTATGACTGGACATGGCCATCACAATTACATGATGTAGGCATATGTATGACCAGAAGCTTGCCTGACTGAAGGCAGCTATTCTTACTGGTTTTCAGATTTCTGTACAGTGCAGAATCTAGATTGGACCCAGATACGGATTTTAACTGCAGTCTGGTAGAGCATTAGTGTACTGGTCTGGCTGGGATGGAGTTAATTTTCTTCTCAGGAGCCCACGTGCTACTATGTTTTGTACATGTGATCAAAACAATGTTAGCACACCAATGTTTTAGCTATTGCTGAACAGTGTGTACACAGTGTCAAGGCTTTCTGTTTCTCACTCTCCTCCCACCAGCAAGTAGGTTGGGAGTGGTCAAGAGGCTGGGAGGGAATGCGGTTGGGACAGCTGATCCAAATTGACCAAAGGGATATTCTGTACCATATAACATCATGGTCAGAAATAAAACTGGAGGGTGGAGTTTTCCAGGGGTTGCCATTGCTTGAGGACTGGCTGGATATTGGTCAGCTGGTGGTAATTGATTGCTTTTGCATCACTTCTTGCTGTTTTTTTTCCCATTTTGCTTATCAAGCTGTCTTCATCTCAACCCATGAGTTTTCCCACTTTCGCCCTTCTGATTTTCTCCCTTGTCCCACTGAGGGGGAGTGAGTGAGCAGCTGTGAAGCGGTTAGCTGCCTGCCAGGGTTAACCCACAGCAATTAGACTTTTCAAGGGATTTGTAATGTATGTATATCTTTGATTACATAGCAATATAAGCTCGATATTCTAATCAAGTATGGTATCTTTAGTGCATATGGCAGTTTAGAAAAACACTCAATACTTGAAGGTCAAAGATCTTTGGACTATTCCTGTGTTGGGTTGAGGTTAAACTGAAAAGTCTCAATGCATTATATCTAGACATACCTAATAGATGTTGCTATTCAAGTGACAACAAGCTTATAGTCACCTCTTTTCCATGATGATGGGCATAGGTCTCTGGTATCAAAGTGTGCTTTCTTGTATGCTATTTTTAAATGAAAACTTGATTGTCATGAATTTCAGCAAAACTGTGTACATAATCTTTTTATTCTTCCTCCTGCTCATTCCCCTAACTTTGCCCCCAAGAGATGTGCTCCTGCATCTATTCGCCTTGTCGACAATGCACAGTTTCAGTTTGGTAAGTATGTAGATCTTCATGGACGAACATCTGTTTCCAAGGGTTTTGATTTTTAGTAGCTTAAGTCTGTTTTAGGCAGTAATTCTTTTGCTCAAAACTAGACAAAGAAGGCAATGAACTCGAAGCTCAACCTCCAGATAGTGCCGTAATGTGTACTTTCAGAAACAGAAGGCTGTCTTTGTCTCTGGGAAAACAGTATCAACTACAACAGTCAGTAAAGAGCCATGCTCTGCATATAAACAGATAAGATTTTTTTGTTACCTTTCCATTCTTGGCATATAGCCTACTGGAGAGTTTGAAATTCTGGAGACACTTCCTCTATTTTGCTGTAGAGGAGCAGCGATGACAGTTTTGCCAATATAGTACTTGAAACATTTTCTTGCTAAGAGTACTAATGAGAAATCAGGTATAAAAAAAAAAAATCAGAATGGAGGCACCTTACTTCGAAGGTGACTTGGTTGATTCCTTTAAATTTCATAAAAGCATCACAAGTGGTGTACAGATTCCTTAAAGTAGCAGGTTTTTTGAAAATATTCTGATGTGGCAGTGATTGTTTGGGTGGAGAGAGGCAATGACATACTTGTCCAAAGTGAGCTGTCTATTTTTAAAAGAAGCTCAGATGTAGTAAATGCCATAACTGTATGCAAATAGAACTAAGCTGTAGGCGTTAAGTATAGAAAGTCAATGAAGCTACTAGAAGATTACTGAACACAAAGATTTTGTGAAATTTCAACTAGTTCAGACACCTAAATAGGACAATGTCAGACATGCAGAGCAATCATTTTTGAGCGCTTCCTAGGGAAAGCTGTGATTTTAAACTGTAAGAAATTTGGCAAAAGATGTGTTCTGGCTCAAGACAGTCTTGAGGAGAACCTAAAGTTCCACTACCCAAAAGCTAATAGTTTACAGAACTTGAAGGTCTTGCTGAGACCATGCTATTTGATTGTACCCAGAAAGTGAAAATGTGAAGTGTGACTGATCTTGAAAACCTCTATTTTAATACCACTTGAACAAGTCAGAATTTCTGAAACTTCTTTCAGATGGAAGCCTCAGTAATGAATCTTGACTTCAAATGCCATTAATATGATGGTGTTGAGAAAGTTGAACTGTTTTTCAAACCAAGGAAATCAGTATCTGTAAGACCTGAGAGCCCAGTAAGCCTTGCCGCTTGCTTTAGTTACTCTTTTGTGTTATACTCTCTCTCAGACATGTACAACATAAGACAGATGAATTTTTCTTTCTTTTTAATTGGCAAGAAGTTTGACTAATTACAAGCTTTAAACCCAACACTGAATAAATCATTCTTCTACTTTTTAGCTTTGATCTGAGGTCGCAGCTTATATGGTCACCTGCAAAACATAGTTTCAGGTGTGTCAATATAGATTTTTTTTCTTGTAGCCATTATTAAGTAGGCTTAAATACAATTGTTTTTACAGATTGTGGTTTAATAAATTCATGTCCTTTTGTTATCTGGTGGTTTTTTGTGTGCTTACTTAAGTGTGCTTGGAGGTGTACTCCTTGGGGTTTGTTCATATCTGCAGGGAGAGTCCCTCTTTACTGCAGAGGGAAGGAGACTAATCAGTTGCTGAAGTTCATGCTTTATTCAGGAGGAAATACTTTGTGAAGTATTTTAGAAGGAAGTATCATGTAAATGGTGCATAACTTTTTTTATGAATTGGGCTCACAGCATGTAGGCCAGATGCAAGACTGTTAAAGTGAAGCAGTAATGGGAGTTCAGAAGTTGCTTGTGACTGAAAACAATGGAACAAACAGTAAAAGACTTTCATCTCAATTAAACCCAGTCCTGAGGCAGAGATGTTAATTTAACAGACTCCAAGACACCATTTATATATCCTGGTGATTTTAGTTCCCCGTATGTGATTAAGGAAGCGATTACTAGCTTTATGTAGAAAATTTTGCACAAATGACATAACTGTTAAGGAAAAAATTGCTTAACTCCTAACTTGCACCATTTTTGGCTATTGGTTTCAGTGGTTTTGGCATAACTTTAAAAAAGGTCACTGATTTTTTTGTGTTTTGTAGCGTAAAAGCTAATGAAGTGCTCTTTTAAAATTTGCCGTGTGCTATATACTTGTGAAGATATAAACTAGGGCAGCCTTAATTAAAGTGTCAGATGAAATATTTGTGCACAGTTGTATGTATGCCTTTTAAAAAAAATTAATAAAAAACCTTTTCCTAAATCATCTTCTAAATGATTAGAGAGAAGTCTCTTTAATTACGATAATCGAAGTGCTCCAAGTGATTCTTGCAACTTTGACTACCAAGCTATTTTTCGTTTGCCCATTGAAGTAGGAATTTTAAGAGCGCTGTTTGCCTTAACACACCTTTTTCTGCTTTTTGCCAAAGGTCATGCTCTTAAACCACAAGTTGCTTCCATTTTTACATCATTTTTGGATGGACTGAAAAAATTCTACATCACAAAGGTAACTTTTGGGGTTTAATACTGTTTAGAAGTTGCACGCTATTCATAAAATTCAAGATTTTTTGGTATACTGTATCTAACGCAGCTGAGTTTGAGTGTAACAGATCCTACATTGTAGTATCGGTTAATTTGAGATTCTCAAAGTGGTTTAATCCAAAATGAGATTATCTGTTTGAGGAGTTATTCCATAAGAGCTGTTCTTACTGGTCATATCTGTAGATGAGATTAATGTGCCTTGTCTAACAGTGAGTCAGTGACAGAGCAAGACTGGAACCAATTTATCTAGCTTGCAGACCGCTGATCATCAGTTAATATTGATGGAGCGAGGCTAACACTTTACTATTTTTTCCTTTTCCCAGATTTTGTCAAGGCAAGATCTACCTTGTTGTTACCGTGAATTAGAATTTTGGGAGAATCTCAAGATGTCTGTATTGAATTTCCCATATATAAATTAGCTTTTTGTCTTTCTGAAATTCATCCCAATGAATACCCTTTTTAATCCAGAATTATCTGGTGCTAAAATGATTTCACGTAGGCTTTTGTATTAAATAATTTGTCTTGTTGCTGATTTGTCCTCCAAATTAGCTAACTAGAGAGTTCCTGCAAATATGGGTATTCAAATGTAGAAAATTGCCTCATCCTGGATTTAGGTAACTGTTAGATGGGAGGAGGTAAACATTCCATTCTGATCTGATAATACTGAGTGTCTTCAAGGAGTGGGCTTACTCGAGAGACAGTGGCTAGTGTTGATTCTGCTGCTTTTTCTTGTGCTACTGAAGTAGAAAGTGCCATGTGTCTTGGGACTTCCTTTGCTAGGGAATACCTATTAGGTTTAGAGATATCCCAAAAATTATTTTGCCTTCCCTCCCTGATCTGCTGTAGTGCAGGAATATCTAAAATAGTAAAGGTTTTGACAACAAGATTGCTGACAGTTTGAAACCATCCTAGTTGGCCATATCTACTGCTTCTGTAGTTGGCAACAAGCATTATTCCTTCTTGGCTTGTATCACCAAGGGATGTTGTTTGCCAATTCTAATTCTTCCAGCTCTGCAGGAGAAAAAGAACATGTGGAGAGATGAGAGAAGTGCTATGTAATACTGATGCAGAGATTCCACGTTGGTGACCAATCTAGAGCTCTTATGTCAGGGCACAGTCCCCTGGTGTGTATGAGCAACTGCTACTTCAGAGAAACTCCCAGCTGGGATGGGAGGTAGGAGTAGAGAAAGGAGCAAGTTTAATGACCCTGAGACTGATATTGCAGGTGTTACTGGGACCAAGATACTTAAATCCATCTTACACATACTTCATCTGTGAATTGCTCCTGTAATAAAAAAAAGTAAACATCAGAATACAGAACTCATCAGACACTTCATTCTTTTATTGAATGGACTAGTCATTTAACTGATACCCCTTAAGAGAATAGGGACTAAGTCTTTCTGGTTTACTCCTCCATGTAGTTTGGGACTGTTCACTGCTACATGAATGTGCTAGGTATTGTTTGACTACTAGTTCATGCTGTAGCTAGTTCCTCCAGTGCCTCTTAAAGATACCTGTAAGGTGTTACCTGAGCATTACAGCCAAAAGACGGCAGAATAGATGAAAGGATTCATACTAGATGAAATACAAGTGGTTCTAGAACAAGAAGGGACTGTAAAAATAGCATCTTAATAGACCATTATTCCTGTCCTTGGAGTTTATCATTATAGTAACAATATTTCTTTCTATTTATGTTAGCTACTACTAATGGATAAGACAGATCGTTTACCTGGGGAGGTATATTGTTTCACAGTGTTTTTCATGGTGTTGTTTTGTTGGGGTGATAGGATGCAATATCCTTTTCAGAAATACTGATTTGGATGTCTCTGACCGGGGCTCGCCGTAGAGATTTGAGCTCGTTGGCTGGGGGACTGAGCCACCCCAAGATCCTTTGCCTCCTTGCTGGTTTTTTTGGACCCTCCTGGTACCTTCAGTTAAATTCCAGTACAGTTAATCTATTCAGTTAAGGGAATAATAAAAGGAATAGCAACTAACTGGGATTTTTCTCAGTATAGCTGATCCCACGCATGAAGGGTGAATTCAAATCTCTTGACTATTAATGTAACTTCATATAACCTTGCCTGGTGCTTAAGTAACGGATTACCACAAGCAGAGTAGAGACTGGGAGAGGTGAATGCCACTGGGAAGGGAAAGGCTTCAAAAAATAATCCTGGTCAATATACATATTAAGAATACATTGTTCTAAATCATAAATTTTTGCCCTTTTTAACTGTGGAAAAAGTTATTAAACTTTATTGCAACTTTATATTCATCTCCATTCCTTCTAAAACCTGCTTAGTAGTGGTAGTTCACTGGAACTAATTAATAATAAAAAAAGGTATGTAGAAAATAAGTAAGGCTCTTACTTTTTTGACCAGTTACGAAGATACGGCTCTTGACTGTTACTACTGAAACAAAGCCATACAGACAGCCTCACTGCATTACTATTAAATCTTTAATAGTTTTCTCCCCCTTTCCACTGGAATATACTCCCTGCCACCAGTTCAGAAGTTATTTTCCTTCCGTAGTGCTTTACCTGGCGTAGAGATTTTCTGTGGCAAACTGGTGATACAACTGTTTTGAGAGCAGTGACATTTATGGTCATCATAGTCATCCTCCTGCTTTAATACAGAAATAGTTGATAGAATATAAATGTCTCCCTATTGGTCAAAGCATTTAAGACCTGTTCTTTCTTCAGTGTAGGTAGACAGCCATTATGTCTATCCTGCTTTTTAACAGGAGAAAAAAGGTGACAGAGATAATCTGTTATTTCAGTGGGCTTGTGAATGTTTGTCCTGTCAAGGAAAAACTTGATTGTTTTGGTAGTAAATTTTTGAAAAATGGTTTTTTCCTAATATTTCATCTTAATTGCAACAACACTTATTAACCAGAGCACATGCTGTATATCTGAAAAGTAAAAACTTGTTGCTTGTATTCTACTACATAGCTATGACTTAATGCCAAGTTTTCTCTTTGCAGTTCAAAGGATTTGATTCCAACGTACTGTGTGTAGCTACCTTGCTCTTTGAGGGTGACAGAGAGAAGGTTCTTCAGCATGAAAAGCAAGTCTATGATATTGCCACCAAGTTTGGGTATGCTTTTCACAAAACTTTTTCATGTGAAGCTGGGAGTTAACTGTCCAGGAAAAAATAGGATTACCATATTCTTATAGTGATTACTGTATGGATATGTTCTCAATTTACTAGTTTGAAATGGCAACAATCAATTAGCTGCTGAATGTTCCCTTTGATAAATATGGCTTGTGCTAACTCTTAATAGGTAACTTTACTGAAAAACTTCAGCTGTGTGTGTATTGCAGAAAAATAAGTAATTGACTAAATACAGAATTGATGTTATTAAAATGGAAACTAGCCCTTGTAATTGCTTATAGGCGTGGAAGCTGCTTGTTTTGCAATACTAGACTCTATTTTAACTACAGAAGGGGAAGACAAAATCATAAGGGTGATACTAAATCTTTGTAGAATTGATGTGAGTGTATGAATACAAGAAGCTTCTTTAAAAGAGGAATTTGTGTTTAGTTAAAGGAGTGTAGTGAATTTCTGTCCCACAGACTGTTTTCTATTCTTACAAAGGAACAGAAAACATTCATTGGAGTGGCAGGCTGAGTAATGATCAGGTAGTTTCTGTCCTTCTGCTTTGATTAAGCGTGATTGATGAAAACCATCAGTAAAACTGATTTGTCAAGAATACACTTTTTTCTTTTTAAGAAAGTTATTGCTAGTATTAGTCTCAGCGTTTCAAATATACATAAGTATTGTTTTATCCATTTCAAGGCTATCCTTTCTGAAATTTCTACCACTTAAAATATCTTATAAAAGTGGGATTTCACGTGAGCAGCTTGCTAACATTCAGTGATAAGAATAACATTGCTTTTGATCTTAAAGAGCATTTTAGTTATTTTAATGTTGTATACAAGAAGAGGCTTCAACTGTGAATTCTTTTTGTATTTTGACATTTCAAGATGGTATATTGATAAGGGGGGTGAAACTTGTCTGTGGTAGGTCTGTTAGAAGATGGTGCTGTCTGTGCTGCGCAGTTAAGGCTATTAGTTAAGTGTTTAATAGTTTAATGTAGTCTAAAATGCTAAATCATTTAATGGTTTAATGGTCTGAAATGCTTTAATTCTGTCCTTCAGGATGTCTGATTTTTTTCCCCGCACACACCTCTCTCGGATTTATAGGAGCTTCTAGGAAGACTGTTTTTAACTATTGGTTTCTGATAACAAGAAAGTGCTATGTATCTGTAATCAGACTTTCATAATGCTCCTAACTTGATAGATTAGTGAAAGCAAGGCTTCCTTTTTCTTTAGTGCTGTGTCTTTTTTTTATCCATTCACATTTCTTACACTTTTGGGATCTTAAGTCAGTAGTCTTGCTCTCATGACCTGTGAGCATATAAGTGCAGAAATCCACACGCTTCGAAACGTAGTTACACATATTCCTGTAAATGAATATTAAGGGTATACTATGTCTAGTTCTGTTTCCCCTGCTCTTTTGTGATGTTTGAAGACTGTTATTTTAAGATCACATCAAATGTTTTGTTATTGTTCATGTCTCTTCAGATTATGGAATGAAAAGAGAAATGTAAAGAGTTAAAGGTCTGGTCTGAAGTAACTTCTCATGTCTAGTGAAGAAGAGAGTCTACTGTTTGCAACTATTGTAACACAGCTTAGAGACAGCTAAACTTGCACATATGTTTGATAATCAAAGTATTATTTTTTAATTCATTTTGGAAACTGGTGACTGCTTTGCTGGAAAGTTAATTAAATTCTTGTTACTTGCAGTGGCTTGGCAGCAGGAGAAGATAATGGACAGAGAGGATATATGCTGACATTTGTCATTGCTTACCTTCGGGTAGGTCACCTTTTGTCTGCCTGCTGCATCTTCTGTTAATTAATATAACAAAACATAGAGATGTCTTTTTAAAGATGCTTTCTCTGAAATCTAAATGCAGGTTGCCTTGGATGATATCTCAAATTTTTCCCGGAGGTTGTATCTCTTCCATTTCTGACTAGTGTTTACTCATGGAACTTCGTCTGCAAAACACCATAAATACATTAATTTATGTTCTTGTTAAGAAAATAGTTTCTAATAAAGGGTAGAGAAAACTAGATTGAAGAATCTACTAGCAGTTGCTAATTAAACTAGATCAGACTTATAAAACTACAGGTTGAATGTAATCAGAGGCTGGGAGAGTACTTGAAATACTCACGTGCTCACTCAGCTCTTACTCTTCTTTGGACATCTGCTTATGGCTGTGGTTCAAATCAGAGTTCTAGGACAAGTGGACCTTTAGTCTGAACCGTTGCAGCTGTTTTTATGAATTTTAGTCTTACTGGTTTTTTTTTTCAGAATAGTATGCACATCCTGAGTGCTAGATTTCATTTGGCTTGTATAGTCAGGGACAAGTCACTGAATTTCCCTTTATTTCAGCAGGCTATATGTAAAATGGGCAAAATGTTTGTCTTTATTCTACCTAGATGGGAATTACATTCCAAATAAATATTTCTACTAGGTATTATATTGGTTAGCACTCTTGGCTTGATGCTATAGTAATACAAATATTTGATTAGTGTAGGCATACTGACAGCCTGACAAGTTGTCTCACTATAGCCATGACATCAAAATGTTTGTTGTCTATGTCTTTTGAAGAGCTACCCTATTTCCATAATTATAAACTAATTTCACTGGGACAGATGGGTGTTTTTGCTAAATAGACTTTCTGTTTTTCTCATATAAACTAACCAAAGTTGCTCAACCGTTAGCTGTGTAGCATACATGGAATCCCAGATGTTGATGCTGAATGTTACTGATAATTTCTTTCTCTATTTACTAGGACCTGGGCCTGGATTACTATGTAATAGGAGAATCATTTGAGACATCTGTTCCTTGGGATAGGTAAACTGTGATTATTCTTTAGAATTGCTTAAAACTTGTACTTGATTTCATTCAAATAATTCCTAACTTGTGCTTGCTCATGGGGAAACTTAATTTAATTTAGGCCTTATGTGTATTGGAGGCTCCCTGATGTGCCTCAAGTCTTGCACCTGTGTGTTCTTGCTAAAGTTGCTAGTAAATTACATATCAGGATTTTGTAAATGCAATGTAGGCAAGCATTCAATAATATTTCTACTTAGGTTAGCTTACTGTAACAAATTCAGGACTTGAAATTGCCCAGTTTAGGAAGCTGGACAATGGTGACAATAACTGTATTGTGTGGTGAGCAGCCACATATGTGGGATCAGCAGTGTATGTTAGAGAAATTTGTAGTGAAGATCAAAAAAAATGTTTAAATATATTTAAATAAGTTTTTTTTATTTCCCCAGTAATGCAGGGATATGAAAGAACTGAAAAGATAACTTTTGCCCAAGATAATCTTTTTTCCTAAGCTTATTTTATCTGTTAGCTGTGGTTGAGAAACACTTGACCACAACAGAGTTTAATATCTGAAATCATTTGGATGCTTCTGTCCATTTGGTAAGCCAGAAATCTCTTTACGCAGGATCTAAAGTGATTTGAATCAAAGCTTTACAGTATTTAATGCAAAGTGGAAAGTGTGCAAAGTGTGACTTGAGCTGGCAAGCCTGTATTCTTGCTATTGAATTTGGTGGCAGTGGTAAGTTCCAGCCTCTGCTTTGAAGATTGGGATAGTATCTTAAGTGGGTGGCAGAAATTTGAGGACAATTTTAAAGCAAAGTTGCTCTTTATTTTACTTTAGCTTTATAGATCTTGAAGTATGCTAACTGCTCAGTCACCAATTTGTTTTGCCTCTCCCTCATTTCAGGAGAGAACGACTTTTTATCTAAGATTTTAAGAAAATATTTGAAATTGTCCTCACTAAAGCAAATGTTTTCAAAAACTTTTCTGCTTGACTCACAAGAGCTATGTAATTTTCCATAAATCCATCAGTTAACTTGTTCCTGACTGGTTAAAGATAGTTGAATAAAACATTTAGCTTTACTTGCTTATTCACTAAATGGATAAATTTCTCTTGTGTATTACTTCTGTCAATCTGCAAAGTAGTTTTAAATCTGTGTAAAATGTCTTAAAAATCTGAACTGTTTAGTATAGCACTGCAGACCTTCATGGGAGAACATTTAACTAAAGAAATGGTCATTTGAAAAACAGTGATTTCATTAAATTCTTCTAGCACTTTGGATGCACCTGGGGGGGGGGGAGGGCAAAACAAGTGTAGCTTATGACAATGTTGAATAGCTCACTGCCATATTAGAACTATAACATTAAAAGCTGGCAAACTAGTGCACAGCTGGAGTATCTCCAGTTTAGGCCTTGCAACATACCAAAGGTATGGTATTAGCAGAGTATACAAGGCCTTAGTTCCCAAGCTTTCTAATGTGAGCTGTATTTGTCAACTACTTTGCCAAAAATTTGAGGCTATTTTGCTGAGAAAGTAAGTAAAGACATACAAAAGTGGGTAACCTCCATTTTCTGTTGAACACTTTTGACTCTTAGCCCTTATGGGGAAGAGCTTTGATTATGTATTCTGCTTCAGAGTAAACTTGCTATTCAGGAGAAGTACAGAAAAAGCAGTACTAGTGAAGTCTTGATCATGAGGACTACTTTATTCTTAGAAGAAAATCTGAGCTACTTAAAACTGGTTCTAGAAGGCAATCTTCTGTTTTATTAGATGATACTTTTTAAAAAAGATTACCAAAGGTGAAGTTGTGTGTTTTTAGGAAGTTGTTTAAAATCATGTAGTAAGATTTTATATTTTAATGTGTTTTCTGTTACAGGGTTTTGGACCTTTGCAGGAATGTAAAGGAAAGGATAGTAAGAGAATGCAAAGAAAAGGGTGTTCAGTTTGCTCCTTTTTCCACCTGCAGGTAAGCTATGCAACAACTTAAATAATCACTTTTCTTGAATCTTTGATTAGTAAGGGAACTAAGGAAGAAGTCATTAAACTTGCTAGCTAGTAGGTAAAGTGAATCTATTAATGATACTACAAACACTAGTAGTGTTTTAACCTGCGAGTGGATTACATGTAAGAGTAATTCAAGGGATTAGTAGCACTTGATTAGTCTTGACACTTACTCTTGCTTATATGCACAAGAGACAAGTATAATGACTTATTTAAGAGCTTCAACTCTCAGTCATAGCATTGAGTCAGTTATTAAGTATGAGCAAAAAAGATACAAAACTATTTAAAAAAAAGATGCTACCCTCTTAGATAAGTAACCTTATGAATTGTGCAATGTCACATAGTGGCTGGCTTAATACCATAAAGCTTTGTTTGTAATGCAATTCTCTTCAACAGGGTTACACAGACTTATGATGCAGGTGCATGTGTCTACTTCTACTTTGCCTTTAACTACAGAGGAATTAGTGATCCTATTCATGTCTATGAACAAATTGAGGTAATGTATGTAAGAACAACGGTTAAGGGGGAGGGGGAGAAACTGATGTCCCGTAATAATATATGGTGAACCCATTGGCCAAGCTAACTGAATTTTGCAGAAAAGATATGAAAAGTCTGTTTGTAAAGCTTTGATCACTAGCAAAAAAACCCACTAATAGCGCACCAAGTAGAGGAAAGACTGCAAGGTGGCTATTTTGCACATCAGTAAATGAACACTTACGACTAAAGCACAGGAAAGCTTGAACTGGAATTTGTTCTTGGATGGCAGAAACTATCAACCACAAAACCCAAATCCACAGGAAACAAGACTTCCTTAGTTCCATTATTTACAGAACTACTTCTTTAACTTAATACTCAATTAGTCTTTAAAATATGTGGTAAAGCTAAAGACCATACTTTGTTAATAGTGCTGCATGTAGAGAATAATGAAGGTGAGGGTCTCTCACATGCTATTTTAGAGAATTAACTGCTGTGGTTATTTCTGTTTAGGCCTAGATAAGTGCTGGTCTAAGTCTGCTGTGTTAAACCAGTTGTAAGCTGCTTTGACGTTTACCAAAAAGCTCCAGAATAACTCTCTAATTTAACGCTTTGGCTGGTGAAACACTATACTTACCTAGTTAGGGGAAACTATTACATCTTCAAGGTAACGAGGATGTTACTTAGACATAGAAGGACTATGGCCAAACTGCTTTTCATCCTACCCTCTGGTTCATATGCTAAAGCACCAGCACCAGAAAATTGCTAATAGGACTGTGGAGAAATCATCTATATTTATAACTAGTATAATATACTTCTCATGCTTATTCTTTAGAAATTTCTTTTGAACTTGGCAAGCAGATGTAAAGTTTTATCTACAAGTTCTGAGGCTTCTGTGCTGTTGAATCTAGGGCATTGGAGAATGTAATACTTGAGTGCTTATTTAATGGAACTTTATTAATACTTAGATATTACTGTTTATTGGAATTAGTTAGCAGTGTGATCACCTGGATGCATGTGTTCCATTGTAGGTGACTAAATTTAACCTAACAAAGTGAGTTTGCCAACCAAGTATATGCACTCTGTGGCAGACTGAAAAAAATCTCTAACTACATAGGTATGGTTATATACGTTATTCCTAAAAAAGTACACTTTTTTGAAAAAACATTTAGTGCTTGTGCTTAGGAAAGCTTTCTTTGTTACAACCTTCTAAGCTGTCTTAACTATTCGTAATCAGAGCTGGATGGGAAAGAAGATTCTAGAGCTTGAAAGTGTTCAAATATTTCCTGACATAAAAAGCTAAACTTTGTTTTCTGCCACAAACTTCACCCCTGAAAGAGTTGTCAGTTGTAAAGTACCTCACTTCCTCAACTAGAATCTTGGAGATCTGGGTCTAAACTCTGGTCTGAATAAGGATCTTGAATCACTCTGGGGAGCCTGTTTTCAAACTTCTTTATTGCAATTTCCTTTTCAGTAGGCACTTAACCATCTTCCAGATGAGTATCTCAGCCACTAGACTATTTTAGTTTCAGCAAGGGGGAAGTGATCCAGAATATTCCATTCTGGAATAACAGATTTGTTGTAAAGGATGCCATTTTAAACATCTTGGCTTTGATGTTTATTTGGAAAGTCCCCACTTACATTTATCTGCAGACTTGAACAAAAACGTTTACCTGTATTGTGTACCCTAATTACTTCTGAAACTTTTCAAACACCTGTGTAAGTAAGTGTGATGTTTGTTTTTAGTGAGATACTTGCCATCTTGTGCATTTGCTGTTGAATAAGTACCTTCTTTCCAATTTAGAGGGCTGCTAGAGAAGAAATACTTGCCAATGGAGGAAGTCTGTCACATCACCATGGAGGTAATGTTCTCAGTCTAATATTAGTCTCTTTGATACTGCTAAATGTTAATGAGTACATAAAATAGTTTGTAATAGAACTTTGAAAAATATTTCACAGGCATTAACTAAAATTACTTGGGGGGGTGGGCGGGGAATCTCCTGGCATTCTTTCTAGAAACTTCTCACCTGTTTGCCAGACTTTCAGGGGAAGTGTCCCTAGACCTGGTTTGCTTGATTTCAAGTCACACAGCGTGGTGTATTTATGAGCACCAGCTTCAAAGCTTTGATAGGAAGTCTACAGGCTATCTGAGAACCTGAAAATGTAATTGATCAGTTTGTCTTAAGCAACTTCT